GCCCACGTCTCTGGCATTTGCTCCATTCTTAGTGGTGAACTGGGCCCTCCTTTATCTCCTGCCACTTGAGCATCCTCTGGGGTGGACTGGTGGCTGAGCCACCTCAACCACGGCTCTATCTCAGGGATGCTTCTGCCCCTCCCTTCTCCATTCCCCAGTCCCTTGCTTTCACCGCTGGACTGTTCATTCAAATGCCACTGGTAGTCTCCACCTTTCTGGGCCACCTTTTTTCATTTGACCCACTTTAGATATGTAGACCTCCAACTGTTCTGTGGAACCCCACCATAAACACAGAAGTTTCTGGGGTGTTTTGGAGGTAAAAAGGGCCTCCACCCCAGTTCCAGAAGAGCAGGTCTCCTCTTGACCTGTTAAGTCTTGGGCTATTGTGAGGGCTTATTGGAACAAGGTCATACAATCTCAGGCTCTGCTCCCCAGGTGGATGTGCCTAGAAGGTCTGCTCTATGGCACATCACAGTCGAGGGGAGAATCTCCAAGGACCAACTAAACACCTCCAAAGAGTACTAGGCTTTTACAGGGAAAATGAAGAGGCTGGCAGACCACTTCCTTTCTGCAGGTTCCCCCAAACCACCGTGTGTAAATGTCCTCTTGAAAAATCTTCAGGTTCTGCTTTTCTTTAAGAGTCCCTTGTGAACTGATGCATCTTAACCCAGCACCCCAGAAAGCAGGAGAGTGTGTGTGTGTGTGTGTGTGTGTGTGTGTGTGTGTGTGTGTGTGTGGCCAATGGGTGACCAGACCTGAGCCAGAGGTCCTGGCCATACCTAGCCCAGTGTTCACGTTCTAAGGGGATCTAGGGGATCTGGGGGACCTGGGATCACCCTGCCGAGAATACTCCTTACCGCTTTCATCCCTCTGTGGTCCAGGCTTTCTAGTTGGGGCTGACAGCTGGTCACTTTGGCACCCACCAATAAGCTTTCTTTGTTCAGCTCTCCTGTTGTCAATCTCTCAACATTCTGTAATTTGGTTTCTTTCATATCTGACTGTTGAACCAGGTTCAACTTTCTGCAGCAATTATCACCCTCAGTGTAAACTGAAAACGCAATCAAAGCCCCCATGCTGGCCTGCTGGAAGGTCATCTTTATCTGTTAGGTGTCAGCCTAAGAACGGCAGGGAGGAGGAGAGGGGTATCCCTTAGCCTGGGGTGTCATGCTGCTTGTGGAATTCCAATTTCTCTCACCTGACTCTTCTGTCACAGCTGAGACCAGTACTGGGGATGCTGGGGCCCCTCTCCCTGCATCAAGGGCAGCTTGGGTGAGAATCGGGCCTCTGAAACTGCCTTTATGGAGTGGCTTATATTATAGTCTTGTTCTATGTTCAGCAAGTACTGACTCCAGAATGGACCCCACCTTTACCACCCCCACGCCTTCCATGTGGCTTGGGAAGTCACTGAGAAGCAGTTAGGAATCAGGGGACTTAGATCCTGCTGGGTTTGAGAAGCATGGTCTGGGGGATAATGATCCACTCTCCCACCTGGAGGATCTGGCAGGTGTGGTAAAGCAGTTGGTGGCCTTGGGAAGCTGATGGGAACACTGTTCAGGAAAGAACTAGACTGAGGCCTAGGTAGGAGGTGGAAGAAATTGTCTGGGAAGAGGGTGAGGCCTTGGCAAGGTACAAGGTTCTGAGAGGCACAGTGGGGAAAGGGTCAAGGAAAGCAGAGGCTGCTGGGGTGGGGGAGACAACAGCAACGGCCTGCCGGTGACATCCAAGATAACTGTGAAGTCAGGCACAGGGGCCGCCACAGCATTTCTGAGTGACTGATCTCTCCTGGGAGGGTAGGCGAGGCATCAGGATACAAGGACCTGGGCTAAGCAGGCCACCTTTAGAAGCAGGCAGCAGCTGCTGGACCCAGAAAGAATGGCCTCTGTCTAGGAGTCTCACGCAGAGACAGTGAATGCCAGGCGCCTTGGAATAACCCCATACATTTAGGTTCAAGTGCCAGGGCTGGAGCTGTGGGCTTCTGGCTCTCTGCTTCCTTGTCCTGGCCTCTTTCCTTACAGATACCTGCATTCCAGGTGTCAGAAAGTTGTAGACTGTGAATGTTAGTACTGAAGGTCAGTGTCCTTAAGCTGACCACAAGTCACAGCTTGTCATCACTCTTCTCAGAGGACCCTGGGTGCACCTGCCGGCCCTATGGCTCCCTCAAGGTCAACAGTGGCAATTTCCTTTCCTCTGGCCTTCACCAGGCTGGTGTCTATGTGCTGAAGCCCGAGAAAGGTAGCTTTAGAAGCCGCGTGACTGAGCAACTGCGAGAAGAGGGACCGAGCGCAGGCATTTCCTGGCTGTCATTCTGGTGTAAGCCTCACCTGCTCAGTCCTACAGGTCAAGAATGTGCTTTTAGGGGAGCTTGCATGCCTAGCATACACCGCCACAGAGCCCTTCCTAGGCGGCCTGCTTTGATTTAAAAAATCTGGTTGGAAGCTTTTGCCCTTTCCACATTTAGCACATTTCCATGGGTGAGCGCTGGTATTATTAGTTGCAAGTAGTGAATTCTTTGATCTGTGTTATCTTCAGGTTACTGTACGGGACTGTACTGCTCCAAACTGATGTAGCTTTGAGTTCAAGCAAAATGTGTGTGTGTGTGTGTGTGTGTGTGTGTGTGTGTGTGTGTGTGTGTGTGTGTGTATGTGTGAAAGACATAGACCAGAGACAGAGAGATAGAGGAAGACAGAAACAGAGAGATAGAGGTGGCAGGGGAAGCTTATGTAAGGCATTTCCAGTTCCACTTAATGGATTGCTTTGGTCCAAAAGTTGGTAGAGACGGCACATGTCTCAACTTCAGGATTCAGAACCTGCTTTTCAGTGAGGTCTCAAGCAATCACACGTGCTTTGGTAAAGTTACCTCAGAATGAGCCAGGGGTGGTCAAGGTGCAGGTTCATGGAGAACTTGGTGTCTGTGAGTGTTTTAAAAATCTGAAAAGCCAAATTCACACTAAGCTCTAGATACTTCATGTATCCGTGGCTGCCCAACTTGTCCCAAAGCTCTGATTTTCAAAGCAGCCATAGTTTTCTTTTCGCACAAACCGAGGATGTGGGCAACTCAGCGGGGTCAGCTGCTCTGGTCATGTTCTGCTTCAGTTGAAAAGCTGGGGCTGAACCATCTGAGGCTGGCTCATGTGTTTGGCAGCAGAAGCTGTCTCCCCACCGAGACCTTCCCAGGATACAGTGGCCTTTCCACGTGGCTGTTTGGCTTTGCACAGTATGGTGGCCGTGTTTAGAACATGAAAATGAGGCAAGGGGGAGTGAGGAGAAGGAATAAGGAAAGAAGAGAAAGGAGAAGAGGAAGGAGAAAAGAAAGACCGCCCCACCCCAAGCTCTCACTCTTTCTAATTTCTCAGAAACAGCGAAGCATCACTTCCCTTCAATAGGTTGCTAGAAGTGAGTCACTAGCGAGTGTGGTGTTATACACCTGCAATCACAGCACTCGGGAGGCCGAGGAAGGAGTATCTCCATGAGTTCCAGGTCAGCTTGGGCTATAGAGTGAGATCATGTCAAAAAACAGACTCCCACCAACCGATCCATAGACCTGGCCCGAGGATGGAACATGAAAGCCTCTGGGTGGTCTCAAAGCCAACAGGTCTGCTTCTGATTTCCCATGCAAAGTCAAGTGACCTGGTGGAACAGGGTCTGAGCGATAGCTTCCCGATCACAGGGCCTGTGAGCTCTGGTTTGTCTGAGTGCAATGTCACTCTACCTCCTGGGTGTGTACCAGGCCACTGGATCCTCAGTGTTACAGAGTAAGAGCTGTTCTGCAGTTCCCTCCATTTGCAAGGACTTCTCATGTTGAAAAGTAGGAGGAGGTCTCAGAATGTTACACAAATTAGCTTTTTTTTCCCTGGAAACTATGGCCCTTATTACCCATTCATTTCCAGGGTGTCAGATACATGAATGGGGGGATGAAAGGTTAAACGGCTGTGCTACATGATCCTAGCTTTTGTCAAGTTAACAAAAAACTAGCTAGCTAGCACGTCTGACCCAAGATATCAATAGTAGGAAGACTGAAAAACCCTATTCTAAATTAATATAAAAATTTTAAAAATAATAATCTTATAGAAAGTGGGTAAAGACTTGAGTAGAATTTCATGGAAGAGAGCATCCTAAGGCCTGGGAAGAGCTCCCTGGTTCACAGGGACATATACATTCTGACCACACTGAGCCACACACAGTACAGTCAAAAGACTAACACTGAATGTCGGTAAAGACTCAGAACAGCTGGGGCTCTCCTCAGCACCAGTGGGAAGTACAAAAAGGTATTAGCACTTGTGCAACAGCATCCATGAGAGCTTGAAGTGGGACCAACCTAATGCTCACCATCTATTGATGGGATAAATAAATGGTACTCAGATAAACAATGGCAAATAATCTCCAGTTTGTCTTTCTTCAGGATTGTTTTCATGGTTCTGAGACTAGAACCCAGGTCAAGTGCTCTACACTGAGCTATGTCTCACAGTTCTTACAGACACATCCAGGTTGCCATAGCATGTGCCAGATGTGATTGTCTAGGCAGACAAGAAGAGGGACCAGAGTCAGTGGCTGGGCAGGAGACATCAGCACACTGTGTTAGCAGAGCCGAGTCATGAAGAACAATCATGAATCCCTTAGCAGAGAAGGGGAGGGTCCACCTCCTACCAGTGCCTAGTCTTGCACAAGAACAGAGAAGCTCCATGATCATTTATTCACAGGTAGCATTTGTCCTCTCCTGGGTCAGGTTGGCCCTGAGTGGCATAGAGCCCCCTTGGGGACAGTCACAGAAGAGATTGATCTGATGGAAGTGTGTGGAATCTACCAGGCTGTCTAACAGTCTGAAGTTCTGGAGTGGCTCATGATGACTTTAAGCACATGCTGTTTTGGGTTTTCTGTTGTTTTTTTTTTTTTTTTTTTTAACTTTTATGGATTGGAGTTGTCGCTGAAGACCTCTATGAGTGCACCTGTGTTTCCAGAATTTGTCAGAACCTGGCAGTTCTTAAAGGTTTCCTCTTCCTTAGGGACTGCAAGGAAGATGCTTCTGTGACCATCTACTGTCTCACTTCCCCACCACTGGCCCCTCTACCCCACTGTTGCCCACAGGTAGGACAGATTGGAGCCTGTGCCTCAACCTGAGCTGTGTTTCCGCTTTTTAAATAATAATAATAACAGTAACATTTAGGTGGGGATGGAAAGAGCCACACTTTTATTTTTAAGTGGCCTTTTCAAATGCTAAGTGCTTTGTTGGGAAACATCAAAATAGGTCATGTGTAACTTGGTCTGCTCATAAAAAGAGCCTCATGCTTGGTATATTTAGAAAGGGGAAGAAACTTATTATTTATTTATTTTTGTAACTTTTTGGCTTTTTTTTTTTTTTTTTTTTTGCTTTTAAACCAAAAAGTGCCTGGAAAATTCCTCCACCCTCTCCACTGCTGGTGGTTTTCCTGGCCTCAGAACCCTGGTACAGGCTCCTGTTTCCCTGACTGAGGAGAGAGATACAATGAGCTTTGTGGGACCTGAGCTCTGCCTCTCAGGAGGCGTCCTGACAGGGCTGGGGCTGGTGACTGCCAGAGTGGCAGAATTCCGAGGCTCAAGTATCTCCTTTTTAAAGTAGGTTTTGGTGGTAATTTAAAGTAAATTTTTTGATCACTCTCTGGCCATCCTTGTAGCTTGTGTTGAGATTTTTGTCCATTTGCACCAATATAAGGCACACCAAATCAATCTTGCTGAAGGCCTCAGGAATAAAGAGGGTTTGATGACACATGCTCCTTTAAAAAAAATGGCCTGAGGGGCTGAGGAGCTAGCTCAGCCAGTCATCCAGAAAGGCAGGGAGATCTGAGTTCAAGCCTTAGCACCTACTATAAAAGCTGGAGCCCAGTGCCCAACCAGCCTACTCAAGTCAGCGAGCCCTAGGTCCCAGTGAGAGATCCTGTCTCAAAAGACAAGGTAGATGGCAGCTGAAGTTGACCTCTGACCTCCATGCATTATCAACACACACACACACACACACACACACACACACACACACACACACACACCCCAAAACACAAACTAAAACCCCTCTTTAAACACATGCATCTTTTATTTCCCTCTTCCAATATCTAATCTCCCCCAGCTCCTCCTTCCTTTTCCCTCTAGCTAGTCCCCAATCCTCACTCAAACCAAAGACATTCCTCTCACATTCTGCAAAATCTGGTCTAGCACCAGCTTCCATGCCCAGACTTCAGTGGTCCAACCAACAGGGTGTTCAGCAAACAGTGTTCTCTGAGGACCTTGGGGGCGGACAGCAGCGTGGTGTTTTATAACAAGGCAGACTAGTAGACAGGAATGTGAGGACCAAACCTGAAAAGGCCTAAAGACTTTCTGAGTACTTGGATGCTTGGGGCCCTGGTCTAGAAAAATGATCCCTCTTTAGCCTTTGTTTGCCCCTTCCCTCCAGGGCAGGACCCTTCCTGGAGGATACCTTCAGCAGTTCCCATCTTATCAGCAGTTCCTGCAGTTATCATGGGAGCATGGTCCAGGGGATGTATCTTCCTCTAGCCAGACCCCCAAGGCTGAGGAGCAGCTGGAGTAGCTGGAGCTCCTCCTGAGCCTTCCTCGCCAATCTCTGGCTGCCTGGAACCATCTAGAAAGCATAGACTGCCAGGCAGGCACCTCAAGATGCATAGATCAGGCAGCGTGTTGCCGTGCAGATCCTGTGATTGACAGATAGACAAATGGATGTGTAAATGGCAGGGACTGAGAGGTTGAAGCAGGTGTGAAGAATGAAGGGGTACGCCTTAGAATCATATTAAACAGAGAGATTCCCCTAGGCTTTCCTGGAAGAGCTATTTAATGTAGCAAGACCAAAGAGAATGCCATGATTTCTCCATGCCAGTCTGAAACACTTTGCCAGTCTGGTACGGAACACTTTGCAGGCCATCAGCTTGTGTCTGTCCTCAAAACATTCCTGAGAGGTTGCTGGAAGGAAGAAAAACAAACAAGAGTTGTCTAGATTGAAAGCCACTGAGTTCAGTCAGTGAACCTCCACGCCTTGCTGTGCCAAGGAGTTGCACTGGCTTGCTGGGACTCCTGTGCTAAATACTCTCATATGTTTTCTTCATCCTCATCTGCCTTCCATCAAGAGAAAGTGCCCGGATATTGCGGAGCATCTGAATCAATCATCCTTTTATTTATTTAGGGACACTACTAGTGCACATTTCTTGTTATTCAAGATGCTTACTTTGGGGAGCAGAGTTGTCCCAGATGAGCTGAGCTCGTGGTATAGCCAAAATGGTGGCTAATGTAATCCCCGCTACAAGGAGGTATCACCTACGCCCACAAACCCTCCCCTCAGGTTTTTTTTTTTTTTTTTTTTTTTTCCGTGGGACTTCTCTGGTCTCTGTCTAAGCAAGGCCCCTTTTTTTCCATCCTGCCTCCTCTAGCTGCCCTGAGTCTCTGCAGATTTTCCCTGGTCCTTGCTTCTGACTCTCTCCGCTTGTCAAATCCTAACCATTGCTCAAGTTCAGGAGCAATGTCCCCTCTCTGTGCCGCTTAGCAGCAGCTGATTAGATTAAACTCCTTGGTAATGATATCTGAAGCCCCAAAGTTCTCTCTTCTGTGTTTGTCTGGGGTTCACATCCATCTCGCTTATGGAGAGGCCCTGAGCACATCTTTGATGGTCAAGGGCATCCCAGGAGTCTGTGTCACAGTGCTCCCCCGGCACTCTCAGATCCACCGAATACTTCTGCTTGGTCTCTTTGGATGGAAAATGGGATTCCCATTTTCTCCTTGAGATCAGGTAGGCTAGGCAATTAGCCTCAGTTTCTCAGCAAGGCAAGGCAGAGCAAGCACTCAGCCTTAGGCTTTCCTGCCCCCAAAACGCATGCTCCCCACCCCTGTCCCACTCTCTCTAAGTGGCTGGTGTGCTTGACCTCAGGTATCAGAAAGTTTGAATCTCAGGGTACCTAGTGGTTATCTGCTAAGGATAATCAAGGCATTCTGATTTGTGCAAGGCTCTCAGACGGATGAGGGCTGGAAGAGCAGGTCTGGGTGGGGGTGGAGCTGAGGCTGTGCTGCTGGTATGGCAGAAGCAGCAGTGAGGCCACCCCACTCTTCAGGGTAAGAGGTGCCCTGCCCATCACACAGGAACCCTCTATTCTAAGGGAGTTTGTCAGGAGAGAGGGCTCTGGAGTCAAGTGTGTGTGTGTGTGTGTGTGTGTGTGTGTGTGTGTGTGTGTGTGTGTGTGAATTACAGGGCTAGCATACAGCTCAGTTGTTAGAGTGCTTGTCTAGCATACAAGAGGCCCTGAGTTACAGCCCCAGAACCACATAAGCTGGGCATAGTGAGTCTACACCTACAATCCCAGCACTTGAAAGATGAAGCCAGGAAGATGGGCTACAAAGCCGGTTTGAGATTGGTCTGGGCTAGGTGAGACTCCCCTCCAAAGAAAACCACAAATGAATTAAGACAAACAAGGGGAATTTGTTTCACACCAGGGAGCGATGCAGTGGGGCGAGAGGACATGACAGATACGGGCACCCGGGAAAGTCGCGTGTACAGTCATGGGCTCTCCAAGCTTCAGAATATGTCCTCCCACCCTCCTCTGGTCCTGCAAGAGTCCCAGCGCCTTCAGCTGCTGCCCAGTGGGCCAGACTTCCCAGGGTCCCCTGCGCTACCTGTAGGGTGAGCCTTCAGCAACCCTGTGCTCTGAGCAGAAGATGCCGGGCGTTGACTCACCATTCCTGCAGCATCTCTGCAGGCTTCAGAAATCAGCTGGGCTCGGGACTGGCCTAAACTGATCAAACTGGAAGGGGGAGGAGCCTCGGATGTTACTGCGGCAGAAACTTTCATCTGCCTGCTTCCCTGGGTACCAGTGCAACATCCGGCACCAAGGAAGCCGTGTGTGGTGGCTCTCCCATTCAGGTGCTTCTTCCTTCTGGCTTTTTGTCAAGTCTTTCTGAAGCTCTGCTTGTGTTTCACCACAGTGCAGACTCACCACACACCCCTCCCTTGTCATCTTCTCAAAGTTGGAAAGAGAACTGTGGGGGTGGGGAACTGACTCATCCAAAGGCAGCCAGCGGGGAGAGCAAGATGGGGACTTGGAGTTGAGGTCTTTATGAATTCTGTCATGTTTAGGGTTCTCCAAACATGAAAGGAAATAAAAAAACAAAAACAAAACACCACAAGTTCCCAATTCTAGTGGCAAGCGGGCAGCAGAAGAGAGCCCATGTGCAGAGGGGATTGTGGGAAGGCAGAGGCCAAAGAGGCCAGTGTTTGCAAGGGCCTGTAGGGGTTCCTGGGAGCTAGAACCGTGGTGGAGGAATGGAAACCCAGGCCGGTAGGAGCTGACATGATTGTCCACTGTGTCCTGCTCCATGAGAGGAGGGCTGGGCTCTCCACAGCTGCCTGGCCCAGTCCTGCAAGCCACCCTAGCCTGTGGGCACCCTCCCACCTCTCTGGGCCCTTGCCGGCTTGTCAGCTCTGCCCTTCTTCTTGGCTCAGCCTCTAGAGCTATGGCAAGGCTGTTGTTATGAAATATGTGCTTGGGTTTTCTGGAAACTTCTTGAAGTCGGAAAGAAAAGTCTGCCTGCTGGTTCTGAAATGGCTTCCTTGCATCATGCCTCCCCGAGGAAGTAAACAGGCCTGAGCTCCAGGGAGCCGCCTGGGACACACTGCTCAAATTGTAGGGTGCCACCAGCCTGAAGTGTGGGCAGCCAGCCTGGGCCTGCAGTGCCCAAGTGTTTGTCCAGGTGCCCTGGGCAGACCAGCCTGTGGCGCATGGGGGTTGGGGGAGGCACTGTGGCCTGAGGAAGAGCCCTAGGGGGTCCAGGTCAGGAAGCCAGATGTGTTTGATGTTGCATTAAAAATCCCAGAAGTCTTCCTGGAGGGCCTGAGCCCCATGGTCAAGACACAGGCAGCTTGGAGGCTGCCCGGTTCCCCACTGTGGGGCCACCGTGCCTTACCTTCATTAGCTGACAAAGCCACTCTGTCCTCACCAACTACAGGCAGAGGAAGGCACAGCCTCTCTCCCGGCACCTGGGGCCTTGGCCAGGCATGGCATGAGGGTGCCCTCCCTCTGCATCTCCTAGAAGAGAAACTGTGCCCGACCGAGGCAGCAGCT